CTTTTGTCCCTCCCGCATGTAATTTTTGTTATAAATATGGGCTTGTTTCGCCCTCTAATAAAGGAGAGGAGTGTTTGCTCAATAAAAGTCGCTCTTTGGTCCCATCATATACTCGATACGCCTTACCTTGCCAAATTGTAATTGCCTCTACGATCGAGTATGTAGTGGTTGGTTGCTTTGGTTATGTGTTTTTGGTGGTGATTGGTTGGTCTTCGTTGCCACTAACAACGGATACAGAACAAATTATAATAAAAAAAAGATCACATCTATTTAATTATTTCGCATAAATTTAAATTTATTTCGCATCCATCGTATAATTGACCCCGCATAACTTTGGACACCTTAATCCCTAGTCACCTAAAATACAATAGGCGAGAAAATAATCGTCAGGGAACCTAAAATACAGAGTCAATAATATAACTAATCGGAGCCAGTGGAGGAGAGATAATACCAATAATGATAAGCATAGTGATTATATTTGAGGTTCATTTTTTCTGGTTTTATATATGAAACATTTCGTATTTATACACAAATAATACATGAAATGTAAATCAGGCTAACAAAACAAGGTTTAAAATAAATTATAATGCAAATGAGAGTTGTATTCTTTGTTAAATTGCACATCAAAATTTGAATTATTCAGATCTACAGGTTAAAGTTTCATAAATTGATAAACAAGGAAACGTGTGGAATAAAATGTATTATCTGCAAAGAATTAATGTACAATTCCTGTTCAGGATATATAAGAAAGAAACATTAAGATGAAACCTAAATATAGACATATATGTAAATTAGAAATCATGATTTTTCGTAACATATAAAACCAACCATTATTCCTCATCAGGAAAAAACTGTAGCAACGATTTCCAACGTTAACGCTCGTAACATTTATAGAATTTGCAGGGCAAATTCTTTAAATAAGAGATATTTTGCGTAACGTACAAATATGAAGCTTATATCGTTGCTACCTGTTTTCCATATCCTTTTATTAGCCACCATCGGATTCATACCTGACCAAACAAGCGGATCTGGAATACCCACATGCTATGAATATACTGGTTATCCATACACCCATGATTCGATGAAAAAAGCAAAATGTGATATGGTAACAACAAAAAGCCAACAATTTAACGGTGTTGTTGGAAATCTTAGTCCAGATCAAGCGTTTACCATAGATTTTCACTGCGGGGTCAGTGACAAAACGCTTTGTAATAAAGCTCAAACTGCATTTAATAATGTTGGTAAACGAATAGCTTCAGTATTAAAGATTAACACAGTAATAAAAGTAAATGCTACTTTCACTGACTTCTGCAAAACGCTTAATGAATGTTCAAATAGTGCAGGATTAGTTTTGGGTACGTTTTTAATTCAGCGCGTGTCTTACAGTATAAAAGTTGAAGTGTATATTTATTTAAAATCTTTTTTTTTTAACAGGATCTGCAGCACCTGCGCGAACAATTCCAATAGTAGATGATGATAATGTGACAAGACTTTATCCTCAGGCATTAGTAAAACAAATGAATCTACCAAATCGGCCACAATATGGAACGTATGATATTCTAGCAAACTTTAATTCACAAGCAAACATGTTTTTCCGAGGTGATGGTCAAAT